AGGGAGCAAGTCTGAGTAAGTCTGTGCGCGGGCCCTTTAAGAGGAGCTGCCTGGGGCTCCAGCTGCCTCAGCCTCCCTGAGCCTCAGTTCCCACTGGTTTTACAGCCAGAAGTTTTGGGGACTTCTCTTCCTGGCACTGGAACCCTGAGCTGAGAGCCTGGTGTGGGACGGGGACCCCTCACTCCTCAGAGAGGACCTTCCCAGTGGAGATGTCCCTCCTGATTTTTATCTGCCACACGTGGGTATGGGACCAGCCTATCCGCACTGCCACCCCTCCTACCAGTCTCAGTGTGGCTGCTTCTTTAATTCCGTAGTTGTAGGACTTCCATTCAGCTTGAGGTCAGGCAGTTCTAAATGATGGTTGTATGGGTAGTTTAGTAATTTTGATGTGGTTGTGGGAGGAGGTGAGACCGTGTTTACTTACCGTGCCATCTTGATCAGAAGTCTCCTCCAGCAGGGATTTTGATTTGATTTATATTCATGAGGGGATATTGATCTGTAGTTTTCTTTTCTGGGCACTACAAAAATATTGGCATAAAATGAGTTTGGAAGCATTCCTGCCTCCTTTATTTTCTGAAGGCATAAGTTTAAGATCTTGTTACTTCTTTCTTGTTTTTTTATTTTTTGGAAGAGTTTTTGTAGAATTGGCATCATCTTTTTATTTTTATTTTTATTGTTTGGAAGTATTAACCAATGAAGCCATGTAGGCCAAATATTTTCTTTGTGGGAAAGTTTATTTTTATCTTTCAATTACAGTTGACATTCAGTATTATATTAGTTTCCCGTGTACCGCATAGTGGTTAGACACTTATATAATTCATGAAGTGTTCCCCCCAATAAGTCTAATACCCACATGGCACCATATATAGTTGTTATAATATTATTGCCTATGTTTCCTATGCTGTACTTTATATTCCTGTGTGGGAAGGCATTTAAACTATAAATTCAATTCCTTTAATAAATAATTGACTATTAATATTATCTATTTTTTCTCAAGTAAACTATAGTAGTTTGATCTTCCAAGGAATTTTCCCATTTCATCTAAGTTATATAATTTATTAGCATAATTTATTAATATGATTCCCTTATCTTTATAAATGTCAGTAGGTTCTGTAGTGAAAGCCTTTCTTTTATTGTTGATGTTGGTAATTGTGCCTTCTTTCTTTTTTTCTTGATCATTCTGGCTAGAGATTTATTAACTTGGTAATTCCAACATTTTAGCCATTTCTGGGTCTAGTTCTGTTGTCTCTTTTATCTCTTTACAATGGGTCATTTCTTTTTCTTGATTTTATGTATGTGTGATCATCTTTGATTGAATACCAGGCATTTGTGTGTAAAAGAACAGTAGTGAGTGAGGTAAATAATATTAATACCTAGAAATGAGCATATTTCTTATGTTATAGCTTTAGTACAGGCCATTGAGTCAATCTAGTCTCTAGTTGATTTGGGTTTAGGTTTTGTTGTTGCTATAGTTACAGACTTCAAGTTTCTGTAGTAGTGGACTGCCACTACTTTGTGCTTAGTGTGAGGCCTTGAGTTCTACAGGGCTTTTTCTCAGTATTTCTGCCCACTGTCAGCTTTGCAAGTATGCACCACAGAGGAAATCCTGCTTTGTGTTCTAGCCCCTCTGGCACTGGTAGACCACTGTTACTGTTACCTGGTAGAGGCCGTGGATTCATGGTTCACTTGCTCTAGCCTCGGTCTTAAGTAGCCTTGTACCTGAGCCCCAGGACTGGGGGTTTCTTAGCTTTTCTGATTCTCCTCCAGTGACTGACAACCTCTGCCTCTAATTCATAGATGCAGGCAGACTTCCTGTCCTTCATCCCCATGGGAACCAAACTCTGTCTTACATTGTTGGAGGGGTCTGGGTGTGAGTGAGGTTTCTGCCTTTTACCCAGCAGTAGCCCTCTGCTTTCTATCAGCGCAAAATACTGGGCACTAGTAGGTTTCCTGCTCCTTGCCAGCAGCACGTGGCTTTTGCCTAATGTCATTGCAGGGTCTGGGGTAGTTTTTACCCCCCTTTGCCTGGTAGCAGGTCAGAGACCCGTGGGATGAGGGTCTCACGTCAGAGGAAGGCCAGGGTGCAGATGTCTGTCTCTAGCAGCAGCCAGTCGCCACCTTGTGCGTGGCCCAGAGCTCAGACGGCTTCTCTAGGTGCTCCTGTTCCACCCTCAAGCCTTGGCAGGTCCTGCCTGCCTGTGGCACTCGGGGCTCCCTCAGCCTCTGCCCTCCTCCAGTCATTCTCATGAGCACACAGAAGAAAACTGCGGGAAGAAATGGACGCCCCTTGTATCTGAGGTTCCCAGGGGTTCTAAACTGCCACTCTTGTTCACAGACTTTGATAATTCATTAAGATATCAGTTGTTTTCTTTTGCTTTTGTGGCAACTTCCTCTCCCTTCTGTGTTCTGTAGAGGGTGAAGCAGCTCATCCTTGAAGGGCTTATTGGGCACTGGAGATCAGTTTACTTGGTTACCTTGTGACTGCAGCTCTCAAAAATTAATTCTGTACATTATTTGGCTTTCTCTCTTGTGATAGGAGCAATGCTCTCCCATGGCTCTCTACACTGTAAATGGAAGTCAAAATCATTTTAAGATGGTTTTACACAATTAAAAAAGTAAATCTTCCAGTCCATGTTTTCATTTTGACTGTATAAACTTTATTCCCGATTAAGTCAATTTGTGTAGCAAGATTACATTTTATTTCTTGTACAACTTGGTTTTTCAGAAATTAATGGCTCGCTTTTATTTTTCATTTGCAAGCTTTTTATAGGGCATGTCTCAAAATAATGTTTTAGATGTTCAAACCTGCCAGATAGTCTGTATATTCTCTTTCCCTTCTATTATTCTTCGGGACTCCCCTCCCCTGCCCCGGCCCGGAACTTTCTCGGGTCTGCTGCCCCCTGAACAGGATGTGCGCGCGTCCTGCTGCCCAGCCATCAAACTGTGCCTTCTTTTTTTTTTTTATCCTCACCGGAGGACATTTTTTGTTTAGATAGAGTGGTAGGAAGAGAGAGAGAAAGAGAGAAACATCAACGTGCAAGGGACACCTCGAGTGGCTGCCACCCGCACGACCAACCAATGCCAGGGACAAACTGCAACCGAGGCACGCGCCCTTAGCGGGAACCGAACCCGGGTCTCTCTGGACCGCGGACTGACGCTCTAACCGCTGAGCCAAACCGGCCAGGGCAGCCTGTGCCTTCTTTTCACCCAATGTCTGAGGCGTAGCCTCTTCGCTCCTCTGGTGGGCTTTCCTGTACCGTGTCTTCTTTCATGATTCACGCCCTCATTTTGTCGGAGCACATCCTCTAGCAGCTTCCCGAGAGAGTGAGTGTATGTTTTAAAAGACCTGCTGGTTCTGCCCTGGCCAGTTTGCCTCAGTGGGAGAGTGTCAGCCTGCGGACCAAAGAGTCTCGGGTTCGATTCCAGTCAAAGGCAGTACCTCTGGTTGCGGTTGGTGCTTGGCCCTGGTCGGGGTTGTGCAGGAGGCAACCAGTCGATGTGTCCTTCTCACATCAATGTTTCTCTCTCTCTCCCTCCCACTCTATCTGGAGATAAATAGAAAAATATCCTCGGGTGAGGATGAAAAGACTTACTGGTCGTTGACTGACCATTCTGGAGCACTGAAGACTTCACTGCTTGGCAGGGCCTGGTGACAGCTGAAGCTTCCGTGTAAGCTTCGTTCTGGCCATTTTATGGAGGAACACCAAAATTCAGTCACTACAGGGTACTGTTCTTGGAACGGTCAGTTCTTCGGACAACAGTTTTCTCCTGCCTTGGACATAATCGGCATGGCTGCTGCAGTCTTCTGGAAGCTGAGTGGGGATAGGGCTTCATTTTCCTGTGCCAGAGTGGCACCCCCTTGCCCTCTGATTCTCTCAGTGAGCCATCTCCAGGGAGTGAACTTGTGCTGGGGTGGGGATGAGGATGGCAGTATGGTGAGGAAGGCACCTGGACAACTCAGGTGCCAGAGAAGATCTGGGGACCAAGGTGGTCGTTTTCAAGACTCGCAACCAATAATCCCGTTTTGAGCTTCACCCTCCTTCAGAGGAGGACCTGCCTTCAGAGGTTCCCGCTGCCTCTGCTTCTCAAGTGTTTCCAAGGTTGTGAGGCTTGAGCTAGCTGGCTCCTCACTATCCCTCCCCCCCCCCCCGGCAGGCACTTGGGTTCAACATTTTATGATCAGCTAAATGTATCAGCTGCTTTGTAGCCCCTAGGTTTTGCTGGTATCACTCGTCTGCTCTTGTCTGCTTTCCCACTGTTGTGTCTACGTGGCTTGGCGTCTATTTTATTCACTTACTCTCCTTTGAGTGGAGCTTCAGCAAATAGCTGCCTTTAAGGAGAAGTTTATTAGTTCATTTCATTTTATTATTTTTAAATATGTTTTATTGATTGTTTTAGAGAGAGAGGAAGGGAGAGAGAGAGGTAGGAACATCGATGAGAGAAACATGGATCAGCTGCGTCCTGCACGCCCCCTACTGAGGATCGAGCCTGCAACTTGGGCATACGTCCTGACTGGGAATTGAACTGGGACCTCTCAGTCCATGGAACGACACTCAATCCACTGAGTCTCACCAGCCGGGCTACTAGTTTATTTTCAAACTGAGGAAAATGAGGGCAGAAAGGGCCTGATCCTTGCCCAAAGTCACATGGTGGGTCAATGACAGGGTTGGACAGGGTTACATGTTGCTTGTTCCTAAGCAACGTCCTGTGTGAGGTCAGGGCCATGGGAAAAGACCCCAGAAAGACCATATTTTGGGGAGAATGGAGTGCCGCAGGCAGAACTGCTAACAGCAGGCATCACCAGCTGCTCAAGGGTTCTGGCTCCGCAGAGACTGGCTGCCTCAAGCAAAGCTGTCTGAGCCTCGGCCTCCTTATCTGTGAAATGCAGTACTAATGAGGATCAAATAAGATGCTGTATTCCTACCCTTGGGACATACCAGACACCGAGAAGTTAGAGGTCACTCTTTGACCTTGATGGTGACAACATGACCCTTTTCCAGGCCAGGAACTGGCTCTGGAGACCTGACTCAGGACATGGATTGCCACGCAGCCCTTTTCCTGTGCCTGTGTTTTGTGACTTCTCAGAGTGGGGCAGCAGGTAAGAGGGCTCTGCTGGGCTGCCGGGGCAATTCTAGCCAGACCCCTGGCTGTGATGGGCAAGGGGAGGCCTCAAATCAAGGGAGATTGGCAGGGGGCACTCAGGTCTCCTGGGGCAGTAGCAAGGTGAACTAGCAATCTCAGGCTGGTGCACTAGCAGCCTCACACCCACAGGCTGTGGGCCGGGGGCAGCTGTGGACAGAGGCCGAGGTGAGGGTCTGACTCGCTCCCCACAGAGGCAGCCCGAGAACCCCTGCGCTGGATGGAGGAAATGGAGGTGGCGCACCGGAAACGGACCGGGACTAATTTTGCTGAGTGAGTTGAGTATCCCCCCTCGCATACCTAGAGGCAACCGTGCCCCCTACTTCCAGCTTGCACCTTGAATCAGTGGTCCAAAGTTGGTCTAGTGTAGACTCTTAATTCATTTATTCATTGTGCGTTTACTAAAGACCTACTGTGTGCCTAACACTAGGCTCTGGAGATGCAGGATAGACATGTCTCTCTGCCCTCATCATGTTTAGTGTCTGGTTGGGGGCCCTTAACCATGGATGTCTTGAAACTATGCAGAATCCTGGGTCTGTGCATATTTATTGGAAGGGGCTCCAAAACTCTGGCTGGGTTCTCCAGAGTCTGCGACCCAAAGGCCAAGCAGCTCTGGGCGAGAGGCCAATGCTGATGACTGGCCAGGGAAGCCTGGGGACTATGGGGCACTTTAATCAGTCAACAGGGAGCAGCCAAGGAAGCCTTCTTGAAGGAGGTGTCAACAAACTGGGACCTGAACAAGAGTTAATTAGGAGAAGGGGATGAGTGGGGTGGGGAGGTAAGAGTATGCCAGGGACACTGTGTTCAAAGGTCCACTGGGGGTGGTGGGGGTGGTGGTGACAGGAGTGTGGGGTGGGGGAAGCCCTACCCTCCCAGGCTGTCAGGAGCCCCTCTCACCCTACCCCCATTCCAGGATCTGGTTACCTTTCTGGCCCTCAGGCTCATCCATGCTCTGGAGAGCAGCTTGCTGAATGTCACCTTCAAGGGCTACAACGTCACCTTGCAGACACGCACCATTCAGAGCCTGGCCTTCAAGCTGGGCTGCGACTTTGCTGGCCTCTCGCTGAACAGCAATGACCTGGAGTGGGCCCCCCAGGTCAGAGATGGCCAGGAGATGGGGCGGGGCGGGGGGCAGTTCCTTCGCCACGGAAATCCTCCAGGGGTTTAAGGTCTGATCTTTCTCCAGGATCCATCCAGCCCCAGACCCACCCATTGGGGCTCTGTCCTAATAATTATGAGTTGTCTTTTCTGTAAAACAGGGCTGGTGTTCCTCATGACAGAAATGGGGATGTTTTGTGGCCCCTCTAAGTCTGTGTCTGCTTCTTGCTTTTGCAGGTGGGGTGGGGGAGGGGACAGTGGCAGCAGCAGGAGAGGCCAGGGACTCTGAGCTCCTTTGATTCCTGCTGACTGCCTAGGTGAGGGGGAGAAGCTCCGTCCTCTGGGGACCCAGTTGGGTGAGGCAAGTAACCCAAATTCAAGGCCAGGGAAGCCTGGAGGGAAGACCCAGATCCTGGGAAGTTTGGCAGGAGGTGCAGCTAGGGAGGAGGGTTCTGCAGGTGGAGGCTTCAAGGAAAGAAACGCGGGGTGAGGTCAGGAGGGCCTCACAGGGAGTGGGGCCAGGGAAGGTGCTGGGGCTGATCCGGAGGCCTCAGACACCAGGCTCAGCAGGTCTTGGCTCTCTACAGACCCGGGCCCGGCACGCCATGCAGTTCCCAGCTGAGCTGACACAGAAGGCCTGCAGGACGAGCCCCAGGGAGCTGCGGCTCATCTGCATATACTTCTTCAGAGCCCGCTTCTTCCCGGTCAGTGCATGGTGGGCCCAGGAGGATGGGCGCCGCAGGCCTTCATGCCACCACCTGGGTTCTGGGTGGGGACCAGCATCAGTGGGTCAGCCCACTGCAACCTGATTTGCCATTGCCCCTCCCGGGGCCTCAGTTTTAGCAGACGGTGGGAGGCACAATTATAATGTGCAGATGAGCCCTGGGAACCTACTTATGAATGTGCATGTCCCCAGGCAGGAGACAGACAAGGTCACAAGGTCCCTGTTCTCAGAGAACTATTAGACTAGGACCTTAGAGACTTAGCTCAAAGTTGAGTATAACCATGGAGATACAAAGTGATGAGTGAATCAGGGAGAGGTTGGGGTTGTTCCCAATGGGCAGTCCAGGAGGGCTTCTGGAGAAGGTGACTTTTAACCTTGGCATTAAAAGTTAGGACAGTGGCAAAGTGGAGGGTACAAGGCTGGGCTGCATTAAACAGAGGGGAGGTAGAGCAGGAGGGTGGTCAGAGGACAGCTTTCCAGGTGGAGGGGACAGCATGTGCAAAGGCCGGGAGGTTGGCCCATGTTGTACATGTGAAAGCATGCTGGTCTTCTTGTCCAGGGAGGAGGGCCTGGTAAGGGGGCTCTGGGACCTTGTGCAGGTCTCCTCATGTCCCCCCAGTCAACCCTTCTGTTGCCCTTCCAGAATGACAACCACTCATCTCTGCTCAATAACTATGTCCTGGGGGCCCAGCTGGGCCACGAACACGTGAACAACCTCAAGGAGCCGATCAACATCAGCTTCTGGCACAACCAAAGCCTGGTACTGTGGGGACACCCCCGTTTCCACCCCATTCTGCCCCTTTAGGACTGTCCTGTTGGACATTGGTTTGACCTAACTCAAACCTGTGGAACCAGCTTGGAAACAAACTGTTTTAAATTCATCACACCTGAGCCCTGGCCAGTTTGGCTCAGCGGTTAGAGTGTTGGACCGTGGACCAAAGGGTCGTGGGTTTGATTCTGGCCAAGGGCACGTGCCTTGGTTGCAGTTTGTCCCTGGCCTTGGTCAGGGTGATGCGGGAGACAACCAATCGATGTGTCTCTCTCACATCAATGTCCCTCCCTCCCTCCCTCCTTTCCTCCCTCCCTCCCTCTCTATCAGAAGATAAATGGAAAAATATCCTTGGGTGAGGATTAAAAAATAAATAAATCCATCACACCTTGAAAATCCCTGCCAAAGAAATAAGAGAGAGAAGCTTGTACTCATGATATTAGTCAGGATTCTTTATGTGATAGAAAACCACCTCCAGCCAAATTAAACACAAAAGAGAATTTATTGGCTCATGTAAATGAAATGTCTAGGGCTGGTCTAGCTTCAGGCATGGCTGGATCCAGGGGCTGATATGATGCCATAATGGCTTAGCCTCTCTCCATCTCTCAGCAATGATTTCCTCCCTTGGCTCTCCACTCTGTGGCAAGATGGCAGCTGAAGTCTTGGACTTTCTTCCCCTCTGCTCAGAGGGTTTTTCTTGCCAGTGCAAACCAGGGTCCCAGAATGGAGTCCTACAGGTCCAGCTGGGTAATGGTCCATCCCTGAACCATCACTGTGCCCAGGAGCATGGAATGTGTGGATTGACTAGGCCTGGATCACATGACCCAGGGACCGGGCTGAATTAATCTGACCTGCCCCTGTGGAAGGGGTGGGTTCTCAGGAGAAGTGCAGATACTGATATGGGAAGCAGAGAGTAGGCCTGCAGGGTGGGCAAGCTCTGATACCTCTGTTCTCTGTCTGGCATTCCTGAAAAGCCCAGAGCCTTTGTGCTCTGGTCCTATCTTCCCATCAGCCTCTTCTCTGCACTCTCAATTTCACCATCATCCTTCCTTTCATTCCTCTGGGCCTTTGCCCCTGTAGTTCCCTTTACCTGGAATGTTCTTGCTCCACTTTCGTTGCAATCCAACGTGTCTTCCAAGGCCTCAGTGCCCCAGCTGTCCCTTCCTTCCGCAGGACTCCTCTGCCCTTCTCCTAAGGTTTTCCACGGCACTGCCTGTGTCCTATCCCCCACCCCTCCACCCACATGGCTTGGTGTCAAGGTTGTCTGTGGATGAATCTCTCTCCACCACTGGGAAGTCTCTGGACCCCACAGGGAGGAGCTGGAAGGCGGTGGATTATAGAGCACCTACTGTATAGGCCAGAGCTGGGCACTCAAGTTTCCTCATTTGCATTTATTTTTCCACTATCCTCATGACTTGGTATAAATGATCCCATTTTATAGATGAATAAACTGAGGCTCAGAGATTCTATGTAACTTGCCCAAGTCACTCTCAGAGTCCATGGTGTAGGTGGGGCTAGAATCTGGGTCTGCCTGATGGCAAAGCCCAGTCAATGCCTGGTAAAATGTTGACAAGGGTGCAGTTGAGTCACCTTTGGCCCCCACAATTTCCAGACCCTGATCCCTCCCCTGCACCCCTTGGATGCATCCAACTCTAGCATCTCCCCTTAGGAAGGCTACATGATTACCTGTGTCTTCTGGAAGGAAGGAGCCAGCAAACGCCACTGGGGGCTCTGGAGCCCTGAGGGCTGCCACACAGAGCAGCTCTCCCCTTCCCAGGTGCTCTGCCGCTGCAACCACCTCAGCTACTTTGCTGTTCTCATGGTATGTGTGCATCCAGCTTGGGGGAAGGTAGTCAGAGCTGCAGAAGACTCCATGCTCAAGACGGAGAAGCAGGGCAAAGGCTGGTGTAAGGAATAGAAAAGCCAGTTCAAGTGAGCTTGGGAGGGGGAGGGGAGGGAAATTTATGGGTTTATGTTCTTGAAAAGGCTGGGTTAGGCTTCAGGTACAGCTTGATCCAGGGGCTCCATATCACCAAGACAGGCTTCATGTCTTACTAATGTTTAGGCCAGTGGAATGAGAGCTTCTCTCACCCAGTTCCACTAGCCAAAATCTTGCAATTGAGTCCCACCAGCCTAGAGTGTGTCACATACCTATCCCTTAACCAATCACTGTGCAGGAGGAGGACAGGCTCTGACAGGCCAGGAGTGGTGCACCTGTGCACACACAGTGGGAGAAGTGGTGGACCCACCCATGTGTACAGACAGCGAGGGAAGGGAGGCTCTCGCAGAGGCAGGGGAGGTCACACAGAGGAAGAGGAGATGGGAGTTAGTAGTGGGGAAAAGCCACTATGTCTGTCATAGCTTTTTTTTTGAGCCAGGACCATGATGAGGATCGTAGGGCAGAGGGGTTTGGAACTGGGGTCTTGGCAGATTTCTCTGATTGAGCCTGGGGGAAGCATTTCCATATGGCTGACCTCCAGTCCCCTTCCCTCCCACAGCAACTCTCCCCAGCCCCGCTCCCTGCAGAGCTGCTGGCACCTCTCACGTACATCTCCCTTGTGGGCTGTAGCATCTCCATCGTGGCTTCCCTGCTCACTATCCTGCTGCACTTCCACGCCAGGTATCCCCTGCCCCAGTGCCAGGCCTGTCTGCCCACGGCTACTCAGCACTTCTTCTTTTCCACGTGGTCCCCAGGGTGGGACGGGTTTCTCCAGAGGGCGGAGGCCGCAAGACAGGGGACCAGCCTCACTGCGTGGCTGCTGTTGGCTCCCTTTCCCCCTCGACCTGTGTCCCCGTCATTGTGTGTCTATAAGCCTGAGGGGGGTTGCTGCCTCGGTGATGTCCCCAGGCCACCAAGGGCCGTGTTCCCACCCACAGGAAGCAGAGTAACTTCACAACACGCATCCACATGAACCTGAATGCCTCCGTGCTGCTCCTAAACGTCACCTTCCTGCTGAGCCCCGCACTGGCCATGCCGGCCATGCCTGGGTCAGCGTGCGTGGCACTGGCCGCCATCCTGCACTACATGCTGCTCAGTTGCCTCACCTGGATGGCCATTGAAGGCTTCAACCTCTACCTTCTCCTGGGGCATGTCTACAACGTCTACATCCGAAGATACGTGCTCAAACTCTGTGCAGTGGGCTGGGGTAAGCCCAGCCTCCCTCACTTCTTGCTTCCTGAGACTTCCTGCTGGTCTGAGAATCTGCTCCTGACTGCCCTTTCTTTTTCACTCCTCCTTCTCATAGTGACCACTGGTCAATCATCCCTGCCAACACTCATCACCACTTCCTACATTACTATTCTTATAGTCACTGCCACCTCCAACACCACTCTGCCTCCACCCCCTCTACCTGCAACACCACCATCACCTCCATCACCATCACCACCTCCACCACCTTCACCTTTATCACCACCTCTACCTTCAACACCTCCACCACCTCCATCACTTCTATTTCCAACACCATTATCACCTCCACCACCTCTACCTCCAACACTGCCATCATATCCACCACCTTCACCTCCACCACCTCTGCCTCCACCACCTCTACTTCCAACACCACCATCACCACCACCACCTCCACCTCCAACACCACCATCACCTCCACCACCTTCACCTCCGTCATCACCTCTACCTCCACCACCTCTACCTCCAACACCTTTGCTTCCAACACCACCACCACCTCTGCCTCCACAACCTCTACCTATAACACCATGATTACTTCTACCACTACTTTAACTACATCCCACCACTACTTTCATCATGGCTACCATCCTCATCCTCGTCTTCACCACTATCTCTGGCATCACTGTCATTGTTATCTCCAGCACCATCCTAGCCCCTCTTTATTGTCTGTTTCTCAACTGTTCCTCAGCCTTCTCTCCCTTTAGCTCCCAGCCACCACCTCCCCAGTGTGACCACGACTGCTGCCACTACCATCCCACCTTAGAGCCCTCACTCACATCATCTTGGAGAACAGCCTTCTCTAAGCTGGGCTATATGACAGAGGCTGGGGCTCAGAATAGGCTCTTTCCCTACCTATCCCTTGCCCAGTGGAATTCTGTTTCAGCAGCCCCAGGGACCCACAGCCAGCCCATCCCTGGGGACTCCTGAGAGATGCTGAGCCTCTGTCCCCCTCCTCAGGGGTCCCAGCCTTCCTAGTGCTGCTCCTCCTCGCCATCAAGAGTTCAGCTTATGGACGTCACACAATCCCACTCTCTGACAGCCAGGGAAACAGCACGGGCTTCCAGAACTTGTCCATGTGAGTACACGCCGGGCTATAGCATGCTCCCTGGCCCTGGCAGAAGGACCATATGGCCATGAACAGGGTGTCCTGCAGGCAGGGCACTGGTGTAGGGCAAGGAAGGACCACTACTTAGACAAAGGGTGGTTTCCAGGGTGCTTTGTCACACCCCTTCTGCTGGGTCCTTTCGGCAGGCTTGAGTTCTATGCCAGCTAATTCTAGGATGCTGTGGCCTGGACTCCAATGTCCACTCAAGGGCCTCCAAGACCTTTGTCTCTTGGCAACACGCAGCTGCTGGCCCAGCCACCTCCAGCTCTCAGGCCTTGCTGTGGGACACAATGCTCCATAATGCCCTCCAGGTCCATCCATGTTGTCACAAGTGGCAAGACTTAGTTCTTTTTTATGACTATGTAATATTTCATTGTATACGTGTACAGTCGACCCTTGAACAACATGGGTTTGAATTGCATAGGCCAACTTATACACAGATTTTTAAAATAAGTATTGTAAATGTATTCTTTCTTTCTTATAGTTACTGTAGGAATACAGTATGTAATACATATACAAAACATGTTCATCAACAGCTATCGGTAAGGCTTTTGGTGATACGTGGGCTATTAATAGTTTAGTTTTGGGGGAGTCAAAAGTTATAAGTGGATTTTCAACTGCACAGAGGGTTGGCGCCCCAACCCCCATGTTGTTCAAGGATCAACTGCATACCACATATTCTCTTATCCATTGATCTGTCAATGGACACTTTAGTTGTTTCCATATCTTGTCTACTTTAAATAACACTGCAGTGAACATGGAGGTGCATAGATCTTTTCAAGTTCGTTCGTTCTTTCTTTCTTTCTAAAATATGTTTTTATTGACTTTGAGAGAGAGAGAGAGAGAGAGAGAGAAGCATTGATGTGGAGAGAAACATCAATTGGCTGCCTCCAGCACACCCTCTACTGGGAATCAAGCCTGCAACCCAGGCATGTGCCCTGACCAGGAATTGAACTGGGACCTCTCAGTCCATGTGATGATGCTCAATTCACTGAGCAACACCTGCTGAGCTTTAAAAAAAAACACAACAACTCAGAAGTGGAATTGCTGGATCACATGATAGTTCCATTTTTAATTTTTTGAGGAGTCTCCATACTGTTACCCATAGTGACTGCACCAATTTACACCCCCATGAACAGTGCATGAGGGTTCCCTTTTCTCCACATTCTTGCTAACTCTTGTTATTTCTTGTCTTTCTGATAATAGGCATTCTGACAGGTGTGAAGTGACATATATATGTATTCCTAGACACAAACAACAACTTAAAAAACTCTTGAAAATAACCCCTATGCCCACTGACCCGACACTAGATGAATAAATGTGGTATTATCTGGCAGTGGAAAGGAGCGGTCCATGCCACGCTCATGGACTTGGATGAAGCCCAAAAATAATGTTCAAGGACCCCTATGACTGCAGTGGCAGGAGCCCGAGCAGGTGATTGTGACAGTCAGGGGCACAGGCTCTGGGCTCAGACCATGGGGCTTCAAGTCCCACTTTTGCCTCTTACTAGTGTGTGTTCCTAAGCCAGAGCCTCAGTTTCCTCATCTGTAGAATGGGGATGATTACGTACCTGCCTCATAGGGTCATTAGGAGCTTTGAATGGGCTAATCTACTGAAAATATGTGACACTGTGTCTGACTGGGGTAAAGGCAACACCCGTTATGAAAGTGTCGTGGGGAGGCAAGGGGCTGGAAAGGGGGCACGTGAAGGTTGCAGGCAGGGGGCTGAGGTGACAGGTGGGTCCTACCATGGTGACCTGCTGGAAAGATGGGCCCAGGACATCACTTTATGTGCAGTCAGACAAAGAACAAGAGGTCTAAGTTGGGAGACCGGACTGGGTTCAAGAAGCCCAAGAGCCTATTGAGAGCCACACCGAGCCTGACACCTCGCCTCTCCCCTGCAGATGCTGGGTGCGGAGCCCTGGGGTGCACAGAGCCCTGGTCATGGGCTATGGTGGCCTCACGTCCCTTTTCAACCTAGTGGTACTGGCCTGGGCATTGCGGGCCCTGCGCAGACTGAAGGCTCGGGAGAAGGCGCCAGGCACCCGGGCCTGCAGAGACACCGTCACTGTGCTGGGCCTCACCGTGCTGCTGGGCACCACCTGGGCCTTGGCCTTCTTCTCCTTTGGCATCGTCCTGCTGCCCCAGCTCTTCCTCTTCACCATCTTTAACTCTCTCTACGGTGGGTCCTGTGGGCAAACTGAAGGAAGCTTTGGGGGTTGTGCACATCTGGTAGGTGTTACTGCTGGAAGGTTCAGGTCAGGGGGCAAGTCAGGGGTTGAAATCCAGCCCCAGGACAAGCTGGTTAGGGGCCACATTCAGAGGAAAGGGCCTTTCCTTGTAATCTGTACAAAGGCACCCTCTGGACCAGCGGTGGCCGGGTCCTCACGCTCATGCTCCACCCCTTCAGGCCTCCAGCAGTAAGAAATTCTGATAATTACTCCTGGGTCTCAGGGAGGCTCAGTTCACCCCAACCAAGGCGGTCCCTGGATTCTGGGAGAGGCTCACGATGCTCCCACGATGCTCCCACGATGCTCTCACTGATCATCCTTTGCTTGCAGGTTTCTTCCTCTTCCTGTGGTTCTGCTCCCAGAGGTGTCATTCAGAGGCAGAGGCGGAGGCAATGATGGAGACATTCAGCTCCTCTCAGATGGTGCAGTAGTTTGGACCTCCTGGCCTGAACACCTAACCTTTCTGGCTGCTTGCATCCTGAGGCCCTGGCTTTCACCAGAGCAAGTGGCAGACCAGCTGCTGGACACTGGAGGCCCAGTGCCCTCAAGGGAGGCTTTCTACCTCCATGGCTTCCCCGGACCCAGAGGGAAATGCCCAGAATGCCCTTGGCGTTCTACTGTGTCAGGTCCAACCTTACTGGGGTCAGCAAACTTTGCCCCGGTGCTTGGGCCCAGCTGGCCAGGCCTAAGGACAGAACTCTGGCCAGGGAGCCAGGAGGCCATGTTTCAAGGCCTGGCTCTAAGTCTTACTCTATGGTAAGACTAAGACTTACTCTAAGTCTTTTCTCACTGACCCTTGGTTTCCACATCTGGCATGAGGCTGACGGCTCTGGTCCTGCCTAGCCTAAGAACTTTGAGAAGCCTGAATAAGGCTGGGGAGGAAGAGGGTCATAGTGGGCCCCATTAACTCCATCTGCCTGTTGGGCTCTGCCACCTTCCTCCTGGGCACAGCCTGGCCCAGGGCCCAGGGCTTAGAGACCCACTGTCTGAGACCTCACCAGCCTGTGCCCAAGGCCGCTTATCCTTTAATTTCCCCAAAACTATGATGACCACAACTTCATGCCCACGGTTTTCAAAGATCAGAAAGTCTAGTCCTCCCCAGAGGCTCCTCCTCTTTCCAGTGCTCCCAAGTCTCCCTGGGCCATTTAGACCAGTGGCTGGGACCAAAGGGCTTCCTGGGGGTAGGAGGGGAATGCCTGTTTCCCCTCCATCTGAGCCAGCTGGGTCTCAGTGACTGGGCTCTTTAGTGACTGGGTAGATCTGAATTTCTGTTGGTAGGCATGAGGGTGTATGTTCCAAATCCAAGCTCAGGCCACAGATGCAGAGAATCACCCTTGCTCTTGACCTGTCAGACCAAATGAGAAACTCGTGAAGCCAGAGCCTTTCCCAGATTGCACACCAGGGGACGCTGTTAGCCTGTGCTCCCAGGCACCAAAACCACGTCTGGAAATGCAGTCACCTGTCTGTGAACATGACACACCAAGGAGAGGTCCTGCCTTCAGGACTGCATCTGCTCAGTGACCAGGGGGAATGTCAGCACTATTCACATAGCCATTTCTCTTTACCCAGCACCGCGGCTCGCTTGGCTCTTGGGGTCTTGTGCTCTGGGAATGCCTGACCCTAGAGCAGTGGGCTGGGACAGGCTCTCAGGGCCCTGCTCCAGGCCCTCACACAGATTTTAAGGACTGAATGGCACAGGGAAGGAATTGGAGCTGGATCCCTTTTATTTTCCCCTTTTCATTTCTTGATGCAAATAGCCCTTCAGTAGGTGGTAAGTGGCGCAGGCTCTGGCACCAGGCTGCCTGGGCTCAAATGCCAGCTCTGCTTTGTGCCTTAGTTTTCCCACCTGTAAGTAGGGAAAACAGTAGGACTTATTTTGAAGGTTAAATGAAATAATCCATAAAGAGGCTTAGCACAGGGTAAGTGCTCAGTAAGTGGTTATTATGGTTATCATTAGTATTTTTGTAGTATTATTAACAGTGTCAGTTGAATCTCAGAGGCCAACCTGTCTAAATCCCAGGCCCAGGTCCTCACCGGGCACATTCTGGGGCCCCTGGGCTTGGCCACTCCTCCCCCTTTCGCCAGAATGGCCTCGGCTATCGCCTTGCTGGCCTTTTGCTATTTTAGGGATACTCCCCACACAATGCAGCCTCCATGTTGTTTCCACATGTCCCCCACTCTTCCTTTCTCTAATCCTTTGCTCTAGTTAGATATCTGGTGGCTCATTTATTACTTCTTCCAAGGAATCTCCCCTACTGCCCCGCAGAAAGTATCTTTTCTGCTCTGACTCCGAGAGTGTATCCCCACCTCTATAGGGTGAGGTGAGCCTCCATTTGAGTCCCCCTGGTTTAGCCCAGCCTTGACTTATACAAGACCCCTAGGCCTTGGGGTGCTCCCCAATTAGGGCATCAAGGGATCATGAAAACTCCCTGCCCCCCCCTTGGGCAGCTTTGGGGGGCTGTGACTGAGGTTGGGTTGGCAACCAAGTGAAGCAAGGCTTTGACTGGGACCTCTCTTTTTACCTCCAACCTGGGCCTGGCCTCTTAGACCCTGCCAAGGGTCTAAGCCCAGGGCTACCCAAGAGGGGATATGGCCACGGTGATACGAAATGAGCCTGGTGGTTCCAGGAAACAGCCCCAGGCATGTGGTCCTGAGTCCCACTGGGGTCCAGGCTCTGGGATGGGGCCACTTCCTGGAAATGCCCCCCCCCCAGATGTAGGGGCAGGGATGAATGAATCGTATTATGTGCAACTTTACTTCAACAAAACTTTTCAACATTTTAAAAAAATGATAGAATAAAGAAAAACTGACAAATCTATCATCAACATGGGATATTCCAAATGTTTTTTTCTTAATTATTAATAGTAAAACTAAAAAAAAAATGGGACCAGTTATAGAAGATTTGAACAACGTGAGTACAAAGCTCGATCTAATGGACATTAATTGAATTCTGTGTCCCACAATCAGATTGTTCTCAAGCACTTATGGACCATTTTAAAAAACTGATTGCATAGTAGCTTCGAAAGCAAGCTCCAGAAAATTTCATAGAATAGACATTATACAGGGCTCATTCTTTGACCTCAATACAATGAAGTTAGACAATAATAACAAACAATAATTTTAAAAAACACCCTGTATATTTAGAAATTTGTTACAGGGATAAACAGATTGACCAGAGGAACAGAAAAGAGAGTCAAATAGACAGGCATGGTGGTCAGTGGTAGCTTGCAGACCGACGGGCAGGGGGACTCTTCGGTCCGCGGAGCAGGTGACATTGGTAATGCGCCGGGGAAAATGTGCACCGGAATCGCTGCTTTCCAGTGTGTCAGGAAAACACAGTGTGATGTGTGTGAACACAAATGTGGGTGCAAAAATGTCACAGTTCATTATTCATGTTTACATCACATTAGACTCTAATAACCCCCATCCCCTGCATGAGCAGGACATTCAGTGTGTCGTCCGTGGACAAGGCCCTGAGTTAAATGCCAAGCTGGGAAACTTCTGTTTCTCTTGGAAGGAATCTGGGCAAAGGGCCTGCAGTTCAATTGCAGCGCTTCAAGGTCACTGCTGATGTCCTCATATTCAAGTCCATGGGGTCGCTTATGCTGGCTCCTGCTGCCCCATCCCTGGCTGCCTGGTCCAGCGGACGTTTTGCTGAGGCTGAGGAGCTGCTTCTCAGGGACACCCCAGACTTTCCTTTCAGCTGTCCCCAACAGTGGAAGCCTCTGGTCTCACGAGGGTCCTATCTTCGTTCCCTCACCCCAGGCACCCAGGCTGTAGGAACACAAACCTCCCCAGAGCCGGAGCCTGGAGCCTGTGGGCTGCTGTTTCCTTAGGCAAGGGTGTTAGGGCAGGGGGAGGGGTGTAACGCAGCCTGGCAGGAAGGTTTCTTATAAGAGAAGACTTCTAGCTGGGACCTCAGTGTTGAATAGGATGGGACAGGAGGAGAGGGAGGGTGAGAAGTGTTTGGGCAAAGGCTTGGGGTTGGGGTGTGAAGAGGAGAGAGAGAGAGAAAGAACAAGCAAGTGGGATTTGTGGGTAGGGTGGCAGTGGGAAGGGCAAGTGAGAAACCAGAGGGTAAGAAGGGACGGAAGGAGGGTGAGGCTCCGAGAGGTGTGGGGAGGTGGAACCCACAGGACGGAATGCCTGACTGGACATCAGGTTGGAGTAGGGGAGTCATCAAAGTTGGTACTTCGGGTCCTGGGTAGTTGGGATGGCCTGTCTCTAACTTGAGTATGGAGCCCAAGAAGGAAGGACAAGTGGCCTGTATGTGGCAGTTTTATTGATGTAATTATTTACTTTTAAACATTAAAAAGATTGTGCACTATAGAGCACACACAGGATATATACACAATTGAACAAAAATGACAAAGCAAATCCTCATGTCATCACCACCCCAGAAGCCCTCAGCCTCAACCTCTATTCTGCAGCCCTTGCTCCAGAGAGGGAAACATCCTGACATTTAGAGGAACCACTTCCTCACTTTTGATGGTTTTACCACCTGAATCTTCATCGCTAAACAATAGGGTTCTGGTGTTGCCTGTTTTGGAAGATTGTGCAAACAGAACCCACCTTCCTTCAACTCACCATTCTATTTGTCGGAGTCATCTGGGTTGTCGTGTGCGGACATCGTGTATCCGTGTTCTTTGCTCTATGCTATTCCAGTAAGGACCACACTACACGTTGTGAGCCCGTCCTGCTGATGGATGTCTGGGACGTTTGCAGGTTGGGCCATTATTGGTAGCAATGCCCCATGAGCATTCTCCTACAAAAGTCATGGTACACATATAGACATATGCAGCTTTCTCCAAGCTATCATCTATCTATCTATCTATCTATCTATCTATCTATCTATCTATCTATGAGCAGAACTCCTGCGCTACAGGTTGTAGGTGTCTTTAACTTCACTGGATGATCCCAGTTTTCTGAAGTGGTAAAACAAAGTTAGAGTCCCTCCCAGCCTGTGTGACTGTTCCATGGTAATCTGCTGATTGTGTAGTGGTATCCCACTGCTATTGTAAATTGCATTTCCAAGGTAATTAACGAGAAAGAGCACCTCTTAGTTTATTTATTGGGCCATTGGATTGCCTCTTGTTTTTGAAAGTGTCTATTCAAATCTATTGCCTGTTTACTATAGGGTTCATCCTTGCGACAGATGCCTCTGGCTCCAGTGTCACTCTGGTGTCAGCCTCTGTGTGTTGGACAAACCTTCCCTTGTCAGAGAGCCAGGCTTTCTACATCCTACCCCAGGGTCTTCACCATTATTGTGAGAAGACTGGAATGGGGGTGCTGGCTGATGGAGAGGTACTCCTGCCTCCTGACCTTCATAGCAACTACTCTGGAGCTCCTCAGAGGTCATGGGGGCTGCCTTCAGCAGTGACCTTGATAGTGCACTTCTCCTGGGGTGTCTGCCTACCTGTCGAATTGTCCCCACCCCTCACCGAGGCCTCTGGCAGTTTCTTCTAGATACACTGCCGCACCCAAGTACTTATCCCAGGTTCGCTTCTCACCTTTTTCTTATTGATATTTACATATTCTGGATACTACTCCTTTGTTGGTTATATTATTGCAAATATATTCTCCCCTCGGTGATTTGTTTTTTACTTTTTTCATCCTTCAATGAATAGAAATTCTTCAGTTTAATATAGTCTAATTGATTAAACTTCTTTATAGTCAGTGTTTTTGTGTTTAAGAAATCCTTCCCTGGTTCAAGGCAGAGAGATATCTTTCTATTTGTTGCCCAGAAGTTTTTTGTTTTTTTCCTTAATCCTAACCTGAGGATATGTTTCCATTGATTTTCAAATAGAGGGATGGGGGGGGGGGGAGAGGGAGAGGGAGAGAGAGAGAGAAACATAGATGTGAGAGAGACACATTGATTGGTTGCCTCACGCATGACCCCAACCAGGGCCAGGGATTGAATCGCAACTGAGGTACATGCCATTGACCGGAATTGAACCCTTGACTCTTTGGTCCACTGGCAAAACCATCCAGGGCTTTGGCTAGAAGTTTTATAGCTTTTTACCTTCACATCTATCACTCATCTGCAATTGATTTTTGTGACTAGTATATGCTAGGATCAAATTTTGATTTTCCCATATAGATACCCAACTGTCCTAGCACCATTTACTGAAAACTCAACTCTTTCTCTAATGCTCAGAAATGCCACCTTGGTCACGAACCAGGCAACTACATAAGTGTGGGACTGTTGGTGATCACTCTAGTATATTTCTGGTTAGATTTATTTCTTATTTGGCATATTTTGAAGTATTATCAATGATGGTTGTAATGATTATCTATTGACATGTAACAAATTACCCCAAAACTTAGTGGTTAAAATAATAAACATTTATCACCTCCAGTTTTTGTGGGTCATGCACCTAACTGGGTGCCTCTGCCTTAAGGTCTTTTCACAGGTTGCGGTCAAGTTGATGGCTGGGGCTGTGTCTCACCTTAAGGCTTGACTTGTGGAAGGGACTTACAGGGCTGCCTCATGACATGGCAGCTGGCTTCCTCCAGAACAAGGGATCAGAGGCAGGGAAACAGAGCACCCAAGATGGAAGCCACAGTCTTTTAATAGCCTAATATCAGAAATGACATCTTATGATTTCTGCCATATTCTATTCATTAGAAATGAATTACTAAATACAGCCAACACAAGGGAGGGGCCTACATAAAGGCATGACCACCGGGAGGGGTGTGGGGGGGGGGCATTTGGGATAAGTTTATAGTGAATAGGACCTTTTTCAATGATTAAAATTTTTGTTATTTTCTAATTGTGCCTACTACATAGTATTGTATAATGATGTTTTAACATTGATTTTTGTATCCAACCTTAGTAAACTCTAATTAATTCTAATAGTTTATCTGTAAACTTATGTACTCATATCATTTATGAATGATGAAATTTGTGTATTCTTTCCAATTCTTGTATGTGTTATTTCTTCTCCTTTCCTTACTGTACAGGCTAGGTCTTACAGAACAATATCAAACAGCTGTAGTAAAACTAGTCTTTCTTATATAGCTACCAATTTCAAAGGGACATTTTTGATAGTTTCACCTTAAAGTATATTTGCTTAAAGTTTATTTGGAGATTATGAGTCAAGTTGCCATAAACATCCCTGACTCTTGATAACCTGCTGCTTCCCTTACTATGAAGTTCAACAAGGCATTACAATTCATCTCATCTGTTTTCTTTACTCCTGCAAAAAAGTATTGGATCCCTGAATTTTTCTCCAAATGATGAAGAAAGGTAAAAACAGGATGACATTACATGACGTGGCCAAAAGAACTTTGCAGGTGTAATTAAAGTTACAGATTTTACATAGCAATATGATTCGGGGTTATCTGTGTGTGCCCAGTCTAATCACGTGAGCACTTAAACACAGCATCTTCTCCAGCTGGACTCAGAGATGCAGAGTGTGTGAGGGACTTGACCTGCTGTTGCTAGACCGGCCGCAAGGAAAGCATGAGAAAGGACTCAGAAAGCCTCTAGGAGCAAAGACCAGCCTTGGCTGAGAGCCAGCAAGGAAATGGGACCATAGTCCTACAACAAACACATGGAACTGAATTCATCCAAGAGTTTCGATGTAGACTTGTTTCCAGAGCCTCCGGAAAGCCACGAGTCCTGCTGAGAGGTACCATGATTTCAACCTAGGCAGAGAGCCAGCTGAGCCATCCTGAGCCCAATGGACTTCAGAACTGTGAGCTGATAGATGGGCGTTGCTGGAGCCATTAAGTTGTAAGAAGAAAACGAATACAATATGTATGTGTGAAATAAACAGACTTGTACCCACTAAAGAAAACACACCCTTAATAGAAAGTGCCTTTCTATTTCTAGTTTGATAGGGTTTTAAAAAAAAAAAAAAAAAAATCATGAGTGGATATTAAATTTTGTTGAACATCTCTTTTGTATATATTTCAATGATCATTAGACTATTCACCTTTGATCTATTAATGTTGCTAATTATATTATTTTTTATAATGTTAAATAAATCTACCTTGCAAAAGTCAATTTTGATTTTTGTTGATTTTCTTTTTTTATTAATCCTCACCCAAGGATATTTTTCCATTGATTATTTTAGATAGAGTGGAAGGGAGGGAGAGAGGGGGGCGGGAGAGAGAGAGAGAGAGAGAAGCATGGATATGAGAGAGAGACACATTGATTCGTTGCCTGCCCCACAGGCTGGGGATCAAACCTACAACCCAGGTATGTGCCCTTGACCAGGAATCAAACCCACAAGCCTTTGGTCTGTGGACCCACACTCTAACTGCTAAGCCAAACCAGCCAGGGCTGATTTTTGCTGATTTTTAATTGTATATTTACTTTCTATTTTATTAATTTGTGCTATTATATTTATAATTTTTGCCTTATATTTCAAGGTTTAATTTATTCTTCTTTCTCTCTCTCCTTGAGATGGATGCTTACCTTTATTCTTTTCTAATATATTTTATATATAGTCTTATAAGTATTACTTTAGAAAAATTTACTACCGGTTTTGATAGGTGATATTTTCATTATTGTTCTGTTAGAAATATTTTTATTTTTAAATGATGATTTCTTCTGTGACCCATATGTTATTAAAAAGAGTGTCTTTACATTTTTCAAAATGTATGGGGATTTCCTAGTTATTTATTTTTTATTGATATTTTGCTTAATTACATTGTGGTGAGAGAAAAATTAAATCCCTTGAAATGTATTGAGCTTTACTTTATAGCCCAGAATATAAGCCGTTTATAAATGTCTGGGTGTGGTTGAAATGTGTATTTTACAATTGTTGTGTGCATGGTTCTGTTCATGTTTATTAAGTCTGGTTTATCTGAGTCCTTCAAGTCTGCTCTGTCCTTGCCTCCTTTCTCTATGAAATTGAAAGAGGTGTCTTAAAATCTCCTGTTATGACTTTTGATTTGTCTATTTTTCCATGTAGTCTTAGGAAGTTTTGCTTTGTGTATTTTGAGCTTATATTATTAAGTATATGCAAATTTAATATTACATCCTTCTAGTCAAATTAACCTTATCATTCATTATCTTTAATAATGATAATTTTTTTTGCCTTAAAGTCTGCTTTGTCTTTTAGGAATGTAGCTACATCAGCTTTCTCTTTACTGTTATTTCTGTAAACTTTTCTCTATTCTTATTTTAGATGGATCTGTTCACTTTCAAACAGCATAATCCCTCCCACACACACCTCTGAAATTCTTTGCCTTTTAACTGGGTAGAGCATTTAGTCCATTGACAATAAATGTAAATATATATGTACAGGTAAATGCAATGTATTTAGAATTAAATCTACCATCTTATTTATGTCACTTCTCTTATTTTAACTTTTTTCTCTTCTTTCTGAGCTTTAAAAAAATTGTCTCTGTGTATTTTATCATTTCATTTTATTCCCTTAACTAATTTGAAATGATATACTTTGTTTCTATTTACTTACTGCAGGGATTGACAAGCTTTTTCTGTAAAGGGCCAGATAATAAATATTTTTGGCTTTTTGGGCCACAGTCTGTCACACGTTCTTTGTTTGAATTTTTATAAATTTTTAAACCATTCTTAGTTTGTAGGCCATATAAAAACAGACTACAAGCTGAATTTGGTTCATGGGTCATAATGTCCTGATTCTTGTTTTAGTGTTTATCTTAAAAATTATAACATGCACACTTGATTTATTAAAGCCTAAAATTAATCAAAACCTTTTTCCCCCTGGATAATGTATTGATTTTAGAATATTTTGGTTCTATTTACTTCCCACTCCCAATTTTATGTTATGTTGTCTGGTATTTCATTAAATTTTAAATTCTACTAGACTTTTTTATTACTATTTTGTACATTCAATGTTTTATACATTTTCCCACATTTATCACTTAGTTTACTCTATTCTTTTTTTGATACCTTTAACCTTCCATCCAGATAATTTTTCTTCTGCCTTAAGTTCATGTTTTAGAATTAAAAAAAATAATAATATGTTATTTTATTTATTTTTTTAATCCTCACCCAAAGATATTTTTCCATTGATTTTCAGATAGAGTGGGAGGGAGGGAGAGACAGAGAAACATCAATGTGAGAGAGGCACATCAACTGGTTGCCTCCTGCACGACCCCAATCAGGGCCCTGGACCGAACCGCAACCAAGGTACGTGCCCTTGACTGGAATCGAATCTGCGACTCTTCCTTCTGCGGGCCTTCCCTCTAACCGCTGAGCCAAACCAGCTAGGGCTAGAATTTTCTTTAGTGATGTTTGCTGGTGATGAACTCTCTCAGTTTTTTTAATTTTTGCCAGAAAAATGTCTTTATTTTGCCTTCACTCTTTAAAGATATTTTAGCTGACTATAGATAACAGATTGGCAGTTATTTTGTTTCATAAGAGTAAAGATTTTATTCTACTGCTTTCTGGTTTCCATCCTTGCTGTTGAGAATGATCTGTAAGTCTAATTGCCATTCCTTTCAAAGTAAGTTGTCTTTTCCCTCTGGCTGGTTTTAATATTCTCTCATTGTTTTTGTCTTTCTGCTAAAAAACAATATCTTTGTATATATTCTGGTTGGGATTTTCTGGGCCATTTGAGACTCTCTTCTACTATGTCTCGTTTGCTGTTAAATGTGTCAACTGCATTTCCATTTTCATTGACAATTTTTTTTTATTTATGGAAGTTTCCTTTGGTTCTTTTTTGAAATAT